CACATGGCAAGAAGCGCAAGAGAAAGGTTGATCATTGGTTGGAAGAAATACAAAAAACGAAACAAAGAGCTATTGATATGAAAGACTCACTGAATCAATTTGGGTGCTTTAACTTTCATGTACCACAGGGAGAAATGTATTTGGCTGAACAATCACAAAAGAAAATACAATATTTGACTGAAGAAATTCAAGAGCATAAGAAATGGAAGCCTCTGGTGTTGTCTAATGAATATTTTGGTAGGGAATTTGAGAAAAATGTTGAGAAGTTGTGGAAGCTTATGAGAGATGATCGAGTTTTCATCATTGGCATACATGGAATGGGGGGAGTGGGAAAAACATTCCTAGCAAATTACATGCAAAATGAGATAAAAAGGATCAAAACTTTCAAAGATGTCTTATGGGTCACTGTTTCTCATTATTTTACCATTTTCAAATTGCAAGAGCGCATTGCAAAAATAATAAAGGTAGAGAGCTTCACACAGACGATGAGAGGGAAAGAGCAATGATTTTGGCCAAAGAGTTGGAAAAAAGAGAAAACATAACACTTATTTTGGATGATGTTTGGAAATATATTGATCTAGAAAATGTGGGAATTCCTTTAAGAGTAAATGGTATTAAATTGATCATGACAAGTCGGTTGAGAATGTGTTTCAACAAATGAATTGTCTATCAATTAATATAGTAAAAGTGAACCCTTTCTATTATCATTATGATAGTGATAATTATTTTCGTACTTATTATTATCATGATAGCGATGATCCTGATAATGATTCTCATAATGATTTTGATAATGATGATGATGACGACGAGGATTATTGTGATGATTATGAAGAAGATTGGATGTTATTTTTGCTGAAACTCAAATCTTATGGGACACCTTTAACACTTTCCCCTCAAATGAGGAATATTGCAAGATATGTTGTAAAGAAGTGCTATGGTTTACCCCTTGGAATCAGTATGATGGCTCGAACCATGAAAGGGAAAACTGATATCCATTGGTGGAGACATGTGCTAAATAAATTTGATAAATTGGAGATGGGAGTAGATATGGAAGAAAAAGTTTTCACTGTGTTAAGACGTAGTTATGATAATTTAAGTGGAAAAGACTTGCAAAAATGTTTCTTGTACGTTGCATTGTTACCTAATTCTATGTTTAGAAACTGTTTGATTGGGAAGCTTGTTAATACAGAACTATTAGATGGAAATAAAAGTGTGGAGGAAATATTTGATGAGACAAATGTCATAGTGGATGAGCTCATAAACCATTCTTTATTGGAGGCCAAGGAAGCACGAGTTCCATCATCAGTGGAGGTACTATCAATGCATGGTTTAGTGAGGAAAATGGCCTTGAATATTTTGAGGGAGAGTGTTAGTAAGATGATGATAAAATGTAATGGAAATATGCCAGACACACAAAAATGGGCAATTGATTTGGAAGTAGTTTCTCTTGCTAGAAACAAGATAAAAACAATTCCAGAGGGCACATCTCCAAATTGTCCACGCCTATTGACCTTACTTTTATTTGAAAATTACATTACACATATTCCAGAGTGTTTTTTCACTCACATGAATGCTCTAACCACGCTTGATCTATCAGAAAATTTTTTCTTAAGATGTTTGCCTCATTCGCTATCTAATTTGAGGTCTCTCACTTCTTTAATGCTCAATGAATGTAACAAATTGGAAGATATACCTCCGTTAGGAGAGCTACAATCATTGTTAAGATTAGAGATTTCAAATTGTTCCATCAGAGCACCACCGGAAGGTTTAGAAAATCTAGTAAACTTGAAATGGCTAGATCTCTCCATGAATAAGAATTTGAAATTAGTAACAGGAAGTTTTCTCCCTAGTTTGACAAAAATTCGATACCTGGATCTTTCGGGCTGTATAGGAGGCATAGGAGTAGAAGATGTGAAGGAAATGACTATGCTGGAATGTTTTGCAGGAACATTTGTCGACCACGATAATTTTGACAATTATGTTGAAGAAATCCTGAATAGTACTAATGGACCTCAAACTTATTTCATCCATATGGATCATGGGAGTAAGATGTCTCTTTACAGTGAATCTTGTCTTTCCACATTTAATGGTCGAATTATATCTTTTAGAAATTGCAAAGAAGTGTTATATGTTCTTCCTCTAAATATTATGAAATTATTAGTGTACTGCAATGATTATTGGGTATGATTATGTGATGCTATATCAAATGATAATTTTCTTTTGGAGGAAATTTGCATTCATGATTGGCAAAAACTCACGAGCTTGTTTTGTTCATCTTGTTCCATATGCACCAATTTCCCAAAGCTTCATACTTTGAGATGTAATAATTTGGAAAGTTTAACTACCATTTACAAGGAATTGCCTGAGGAAGATATGTTCTGTAATCTCAAAACCTTGGATGTATACGAATGTCATAGAATGAAGATTTTGCTAACATTTTGTATAGCGCAAAAACTTCCACATCTGAAGTCTATAAGTGTGTCATACTGCAATTCAATGGAACAAATATTTGGAGTGGCTTATGATGATAGCGATGAAAATGAAGGTGAATATTTTCATTATAGAAACAACATTAAACTTCATAAGTTGACCTGTTTGATAGTCTCACATTTACCACAACTGAAGAATGTGTTCGAGGGAATTTTATATTGTAAATCTGGATTTGAACCATCCATATTAAATTGTCCCAAATTATGTAATCCCATAATAGAATACGTGGCTTTATGATTGTCCCAAATTCAAATTATATGAACCTAGAATATGCATGATGAAATTGTTTTATGCATTTTTTTTATTCAATACTCTATGCTTTCATTAAAATAGTTGAAGGGATAAGTTTTTCCAAATCATTCCTCTTTTCAGAAGTTCCATTCAAATAGAAAAATGGCAAGTGTAAGATGTTTTTCTTTTCTTCTGTTATGTGTGGTGCTGAGATCTTTGTCATCAAGATTATATCAAAGAAACATTTCCAAAAAGTTAGAAAACAAACCAAACACCAAGCTCCAGAAATTCAGTTGATATAAAATGCAGATTTAGATTATTTATACACCAAAAAGAGAGAGACTGTTCTTATTAAAAACTGAAACTACAACAGCATAAACATCAATAAAAAAAGGTAAAAGATGAGATTTTAATATCACTCTAGGGCATTGCTGAATAAAAAGAAATATCCAGGTGAAAGAAAAGCACATTAAAAAAGATGTCTCCTTATTATTTTGGAGGCTAAGAGTAAGAAAAGAGTGTAGGAAAAGGTGTGAACGCAGGTAGATAGCATGCAAGAAGAGAGTTGATATGAGCATGACACACATTGGTTAAGGGTTGTATATCCTGTGCTCTTTAGATGGGGAAAAAGATATCAATATTCCTCTAATCTGCTTTTGTGTTTGTGCAAGTGTTCATTAAACTGGTCTATCTGTTGGGTAAACTTTAAATGGACCCATTGCCACAAAGTGTTTTGTCTTATTGAAGATTATGCACCCCATTTGTAAAAGAAGTTAGGTATTGTGGTAGCACTATCATTACCCACATAGTAGTGGAGATTAGTGGAGATTAGTGGAGATGTTAGTAGAGATGTTAGGTTATAAATATGGAGATGTAGTCTTGTATGAAGTGTGGCACACTTGTAGTGTGTGCACCGTGGAGAATGGGCAGTGAGAAAGGAGAGAGTCTCCATGTTTGTGTATTGTGTGGAGAAAGTGTCTGAGTGTGTGTACTGTAAAAGAGAGATTAAAGTGTTGTGTTTGTATGTGTATGTTCTGGATAGTTTGTCCAGAAAATTAATTTATATAAAATGAAGTATATTTCCCAGATAACATACAAATTGGTATTATACCTCCCAGCTCGATTTCTACACTATCATGTTTAACGACATTTAGATTATGCATAGTCAAACGATATTTAGATTAGTTCCACAGTATATATCTATCAGCAAACTATATTTTTGAATTCTTTGGATCCAATTTATTTAGAATTTAAGCTTCAACGTGTTTGGTTTGGAGATAGTGAGGAATTCCCTATTTGCTTCCAAGAGACCTTGAGGCATTGTTTGTAACTCACAATGGGAATGCTTATGAGCTACACTGTCATGGAATACTAGAAATTAAAAAAAAAAACTGAAGAGTTTGCTATGTTTGTCAAATTCTTGTTTCTTATGTAGTAATATCCAAAACCTCATACCTTTTATTCTTAACGGTTTAAAAGGTTTAACTGTATGAAAAGGTTTAACTTCCATATCTGAAGTCTATAACTGTTTGGAGCTGCTATTAGATCAAGGACATATTTGCATTGCATAACAATACTCCCTCCCCAAGTTCATAACTTTTCAATTGTTCCATTTGACCACAATTGAAGATCGTGTCTAAAGTAATCTTAGTCAGTGAGTCTGAGATTGGAAATTAGCGATTGCCCCAATTTAGAGAGGTTCCTCAAAATACAACTGAAAATTAGCGAAGGATATTTTCTGACAGCACTTGGAATATGAATATTAACCAAGTTTAGCCATTATTCTATGTATCTTAACTACATTTTTTAGTTACTTTCACAGCCAAAACATTAAATCTCGATGAGAGTCTCCAAATACTCCATACCAATAATAAAATTGGTTATAATAATGCTAAATATCCTAATGTTACTAACAAAGAATTGTTAATTAAGGACATAAATATAAAGCAAAGCCAACAACACTTGAAAAAAACAATACAACCATATTGAAATCCCCAAACTCTCAAAGGTCAAGGCAAATAAACGCCTCAAGAGTCTAGGGTGGGTCATGCACTCTAGAAAAGCCAAATGAGCCATTTCCTTGTTACTCCAAATAATGTGAATTTGAAATTTAATTTTGAAAATTCCAGCACTCCTCTCAATCTAAAAATCACCTGGGTTCAAGGACAAAATATAATAATTACCTTTACCGTCAATAGAAATATTTTAATTATTTAGCAATGTTTCTTTAAGAAAAATTGGAGTACATAGTGGAAAGTGTAATTTCCATATTGAAATTGTTATACAGGAAATAGGCAGAGTAGGCTACAGAACCAAATGGAGCACAGTCTGTTACTCTCTACTCGTCACCCCCACAGTGTTAATTCTACTAAGTGTAGTGAGCCACACCCTTTCCTCACCTACTATTTTACAGAAGATTTCATTTAAAACGTTAATGACACATTTCAACATTTATATATATAGTATTGATCAGGATGCATCATATATTGCTTAGAATGCTCTTGTATGCAGTTATTGTCTCATCTAAAATTATTCATTACTACACGAAACTAACGTAGATCAACTGTCAAAAATGGTTAAAGCAAATATTCCACAGATTTAGCGAAAATGGACCACCAATGACAACTTGTTAAACCAATATTATCATTCTGTAACGTATAATTTTAATAATTGAATTCAAAATGTAATTGGATAAAGGAAATAGCTTCACTATTTAAAAGGCGTTTATATTGAAGTTAACATATATTCACGTCATATTTGTACATATCTGAACAAGGATCACATAAAAATTGCTTCAGTGTTCAATAACTAAAGTGTACAAAATGGCTACACATGGAGTTCAAAATATAATTAAAGACACTTACTTGCAACAGACTGAAATGGACCATAAATTGAAAGAGAAACCATAACACAAAGTTGCAAGAGTCCAAACGGATAATCCAACTCCAATGAGTATAAATGGGTTTACACTGCAAAATATTAGAATTATATAATGACTATACATTTGTCTAAGCCAATGATAGCAATTATAAATCACACAAACAATAGTCAGTTTCCACAACAGAGATCAGAAATTTTCATTATTAGATGATTACGTCTAACAAAATTAGGAAACCTTGAAAAATAGGTGTAAAGCATGGGTAGCTTAACCAAACGAGTGTGGTTAAATATATGCTGCAAAACATTATAGACATATGCAGTCACTAATTTAAAAGGATAAAAAGTCAAACTAAAGGCACATTTTGAGCTTCATAAATGGAACATGTAGCTGCTCACATACGTGATACTTTAAAGGAGAGTTTTAATCGGTAATTCATTTTTTCATTCTGATTTTCTAATGAAAATTATTGCATCATGTGTGGTTTATGGTTTCTTACCTCTTTGAATGAAATTTCAAATTTCACTCTTTAGAAATAGATATCCCTTCGACCCTATCGCAGAAGAAACTATTCATTTTCAAGAATTAAAGTACATATTGATGGAAGGAATCACTCCTCCTAACAATATCAGATCTTCACATCATTCCCACCCACATATGAATGTCATCACTACACACAAGGTACAACTATTTTTTATTTTTTCTCACATTCACATTTTCTTTTATATATTTAAATGTTCAATTTATTGTAATTTTTTACAAGGTTATTAATGTTTTTACTTAATTAATCCAAGGAATAAACTTTAAGATCAAGCAGTCTAAATCTTGCACGAATATAAAAAATCTCAATAAACTGGGGTCCTATAAATTTTTTAGTGTCCCACTATACTGTGATATTTTTTGTGAATAGTTTTATATTACTATTTTATATAACATATTTTCTATCCTATCATTATTGAATAATGTATTAATACAAATTAAAAATATTTTTTTTATATAAAAGTATTTAATTTAATTTAGACTTTTCTAAAAGATAACCATAACATCTTTTAGAAAAAAAAAAGTTATAATTAAGAAAATAAAAAACATAAACTTGAGTTTAAATATAACATGTATACAGGGATAAAAAAAGTACTTATGATTATGATAAAATTTCTTACAAATACGTTAACCAGGTATCATAAATATATTTATATATGGATAGGGGTAAGTATCATTTTATTCGTACTTATGTATTTATTATTAATAAAAATTTAAATTTAATTTATATTTAATTTAATTTATATTATATTATATTTTATATTTTTTTATTATTTTATTGAAATTTTATTTTAAAAATTTATAATTTTTAAAATATCTTAAATATTTATATATATCCGTGAATTTTAAAAAATTTATATATATTTTTTAAACAAGTATTAACAAATAACTGTTAATATTCAATCATATCCCTATTTAATTCAAACCGGTGTCATCCTATCTATCTATCTATATATATATATATATATATATATAATCAATCTGACATTTAATATTTTTAATCATCTCATTTTATATGTTGAAGGAGTTGAAAGGGAGGGAAATGGCT